ATGAGCAAGAGAGAAAGAGCGGCGGGGAAAAGGGGGACGGGAAGGGGCGGGCGGGAGGAGCGGTGAGGATCGAGGTGAGGCCACGCATCTCTTTTTCTCCGGGGCCTCAATTTGAGGACGTGGTAGCGTTCGTGCCGCCGGTGTACACGTGATACGCGAGGGGACTCCGAGGGGACCGGGGGGGGGGGGGGCCGGGGGAACAGAAGGACGGGAAGGGAAGGGAGCAGGGAGTACTTGCACACGCGAAGTACTCGCTCGCTCGCTCGCTCGCTCGCTCGCGCAGATGTGTACGTAGGGACGTGGGCACCAACACGCCCGTCTGCGTTCCTGCCACGTACCTTGGGCGTGGTGCTTCCTTTTTCTTCCTCCTCGCCGCGACTAACGTGCCCGATCTCTCCTCATTGGCCCCGGGAATGCGAACACGTCGAAGCGAGATTCGAAAGTCGCGGGAGGGAAGCGCGTCGTGCACGACGTGAATTCGAAATCCCGCCGTGCTCCCGTCTACCGTGGGGCGCGGCGTTCGCATCCCCCGTGGAAGGCGGCTTTTTTGCAATTTCGTCGGGGATGGACGATTCGATTCGGGAGGTTTGAGAAAACTCGTCGACCAGACGCAACACGCGCAAAATAGCAGAGAGAACATTTGTATGCCGCCATATTTAATCAAAGTGAATATTAATCGGCCTCAACTGGCCAATATTTATTAGCAAAACGCACAACGTTTTGATCCGAGATCTGAGATCTACAAAGAATCTAATAAAGTTAATTAATCGACTTCAACTGGCCAATATTTATTTTAAAAAACCGCACGTTTCGATCTTTGATTTAGGCTTTTGTCAAGTGCGATCTGAGATCTACAAGTCATTAGACAATGAATGAAGTTAATTAAACGATACATGTCGAGAAAGACATTGTACCTCTAAAATCGTGGGTCAGAAGGACCTAACGTATGTTTCAAGTGTAAAGCAGTCATAGCCAGTAAAAAAAAAAACTGATTAGAAACGAAGATATAATGTAAGTCATAGCAGTAAAGAGGTGAAATTTTAATAAACTACAGACAAAAAGTGTTAGCAACGTTCAAAGACATCCGGAGTCTAGATGCGTCGGAACGCGACATTGATTTTCTTTATGTATAAAATTTGGAGCGAGGGAGCGAACTTACATTATTCATATGCGAACTGTCCTAGGCGCAATTTTATTTAAAGCGGACTTCGCAGGTTGTAAAGTCGCGGATCTGTCTTGCTGTGAAACTGCAAGTGAGACTCGTATGTAGATCACGCGGCAAGTCATATGCATACGAGCAGGGATTCGCAAAAGATGTATATCCCGCGATCGAACTCTCTGTCATTGAGCTACCGAGTGAAAATAAATTACGCATCGGAAAGCTGCCGCGAATCGCGTTCAAGGTCCTCGGGGATTCGACCACCGCGCGCGCGTCACGTAGTTGGACAGCACGCGATACAGCTTCGCGGAAAAGCACCGCACACATCATCGAAAACACCGCTCGTAGATGAACGCGCGGGCAACTATTATTCATGCATGAATGCGCCCGCGAACACGAGTAATATGCGCCGTCCGCTACCGCTCGTCGTTGAAACGCGCAGCAACTTATGAAAAAGAAGAGAAAATATTAATAAATTGATGCGCAGAAAGGTGCGCGAAATGACGAAAGACCGGGAAAGGTGGATTTTCCGATTAATTTATTCGCGTCAGATTTACTGTTAATTTAAATCCGCTTGTAACTGTACGCATCCTTCATGTTTTCAGCCAACGGCACACGATACCATTTTTCCTACTGGATTGCTTACGTGAACCAATAAAGCCCGTACCAGACTGCGGATTGAGATTGAGATTGGATTGAAAATTGACCAATTAGAGTAAAAGTTACTAAACTTGAGATTAGTAAGCTTTACTGCGATTGGTCAAATTCCAATCCAATCCCAATCTCAATCCGTAGTCTGATACGGGCTTAACGATGCAGAGTTTTGAGCCAACGGTACACGATGCTATTTTTCCTGCTGGATTGCTTGCGAGAGCCAATCAGGATTTTCCCTTAAGTCACCTGATCTAAA